TCTGGATATCAAACACTCTTTCCTGGATCCTCTTAACCATGAAGTACATTCTCTCTGGTTTTAGCTGTGGAGGTTTTGGTTGGAAAGGACCTTAAAAACATCTCATTCCACCCCCTGCCATGGGCAGGGACACCTCCCACTGTCCCAGGTTGCTCCAAGCCCTGTCCAACCTGGCCTTGGACACTCAGGGATGGGGCAGCTGGGCAACCTGTGCCAGTCAGGCCTTGGTGATCAGGGAGGTGCTGGCAGAGGGCAGGAGCAGTTTGTCCCTGGCTGGGGGTGTCACCCTGTCCCTCCTGTCGCAGAGTCGCTGCCCTACACGGACGACACAGCCATGAGCAGGTCGGTGGTGCAGTCCCTGCTGGCCAGGGGGGAGTTCGACGAAGTTGACATGGCCAAGAGGTGAGGACGGAGCCTCCTGAAGGTGAAACCATCATTGTGGCTGTCTGTGGAGTCACTGGTAATTTGCAGAGGGGAAAAAAGTCAGGACAGTGGTGGTTAATCCTGTAATTTGGTGTGTGCTTGGCCCTGCCCTGGACCTGCAGCAGCATCGGCTGCAGTGTGGGGTCAGAGTCTGCCTGGACATGTCAGCCCTCTGTGTGTTCACCTTTGGGGAGCAGAATGCCTGGAGAGTTCAGAAACACTTAATTTCATGTTTATTTGTTGCTATTTATGTTTGTGCTGCCCTCAATTTAGTGAGGGAATAGGAGTGAGCTCAGCTTGGCTTTGTTTATGATCCATTTCCCTCTGGAATCCCCAGCCCTGGGAGCATTTGGTTCCACTTAAGGGAGAGCGTTTCTTTGTTTAGAAAACTCTTCCATTGAACTTGAACAAAAGACTTTCCTTGTGGTTGTGACCCACGGAAATGTTTCCAGTTTGCTTCTATTTCGAGGCAAAGCTGAGAGGGAAACAAGTGAGTTGTGGAAGGTGGTGTTTATACACCCTTTCCTCCTTTCACACTTTTTCAGGAATTGTTTCCTTGCAGAACTGAACCCCTGACTGTCACTGACTCACACGTGTGTTATTAATTCAGTTTAGCAAGAGGCTTCACCCAGTCACAAACACCAGTAACAGACCAAACCCCCCGTGTGTTTGCCCTGCCCTGCCCACGCCAGGTTTGCTGAGGAGTACAAGAAGGAGCCCAACAGGGGTTATGGGATGGCCGTGGTCAACGTCTTCAAGAAGCTGCTGAGCCCCAAGTGCAGCGACGTGTTCGAGCCCGCGAGGGCCCAGTTCAACGGGAAGGGCTCCTACGGGAACGGCGGGGCCATGAGGGTGGCCGGCATCCCCCTCGTCTACGCCGACACCCAGGATGTCAAGAAGGTGCTGGAACGTTCTGGGCTCCCCGGGGTGTCCCTGGTGCCGGGGCAGCCCCCTGGGAGGCTGTGCTGACACTGGGATTTCCTTGGCAGTTCGCGAAGCTGAGCGCGGAGCTGACCCACGCCAACTCCCTGGGCTACAACGGGGCCATCCTGCAGGCCCTGGCCGTGCACCTGGCGCTGCAGGGAGGGCTCAGCAGGGAAACCTTCCTGGAGCAGCTCATCAGCCACATGGAGCACGTGGAGGCGGATGACAAGTCTCTCAGCGACGCCCGGGCGTGAGTAGCTGTGGAGGAAGCACCAGCTCTGCTGTGGTGGTTTGTTCTGGCTCTTCACGTTCTCCCCCCCTTCCCTCTCTGCTTGCAGGCTGGGATTTGAGGATTTCCCGTTTTCCAGGCGTCTAAAGAAAATCAAGGAGTTTTTGGAGTTCAGCAGCGTTCCCAAAGTAGATGTGTTGTTTGAGTTAGGTGAGTACCTTTCTTACTATTAGCATTGGGGAAGAGCTGGAAGCAAGACTACCTCAGCAAGCCTGGTAGGTGTGTCTTCCCCTAGAGTTCTCTTTGTGCTGCCTGTTGGGCACAGAATGTGCTGGAAAAGCTGCCTGTGCTGACCTGTCAGGAATTGCAAGTCTCTACCCAGTGATTCCTGCTCTGTGTTGTGTCTTGCTAAGGAAAACTTATCTTGCATAATACATCTTAATATTCAAAGATCTCTTAGTGGCCAGTGGGTTGTCATGTTGAATGGGAACAGGTAGATGTGTATGGCCAGACTATACTGGTGTAACTGGGAGTTGCTCTTTGGAATATGAGTGATACTGGGGAACACGGGGGATTTCTGAGGCACAAACCTTTGCACCTTTTCCTGATAAAATCCATGGTACTGGTATGGAAGGTCAGTGGCAGCAGGAAGTTGCAGTTGGAAGAGGGAAGGGAGCCCTGAGGGTAATGGCCGGGTGTGTTCCAGGCAATGGCATCGCTGCTCTGCGCTCCGTCCCCACTGCCATTTACTCCTTCCTGCGCTGCATGGACACTGATCCCGACATTCCCGAGCACTACAACGCCCTGCAGAGAACCATCATCTACTCCATCTCCCTGGGGGGGGACACGGACACCATCGCCACCATGGCGGGGGCCATCGCCGGCGCTTACTACGGCGAGGAGCAGGTGCCCCCGAGCTGGGAGCAGAGCTGTGAGGCTTTCCAGGAGACCCAGAGGATGGCCAAGAGCTTGTATGAACTCTACTGCCAGCGGCTCTGAGCTCCAGGGGAGCTCCAGGGGTTTCCTGAAGGCGAAGAGATGGTCACCTCTGCTTTTGTGGTCAGATCCAGCAGTGGATCCGTGCCGTGGGTGACACCAGCAAGCCTCACCTGGGAAAGGTGCCTGCTGCTGTCAGCTGGGAGCATGAGCTGCCTTGGAAGGGGGGGGACATCCCCTGCAGTCATGGATCAGCTGGGAAGTGGCTGCATGTGGCACCTTGGACAGTGGGTGCAGCTCTTCTGAGTGTACAGGAGTGTCTTGTTTTCCATGGGATTTCTGCTGCTTGCTTTGTCCACCGTTGTGCCATTTGTCATTGCAGTTACTGGGGGGTGTCTAAATCTGCAGACTTTTTCCCTGTTTTCCTCTGCTCCTGTGTCTGTGGCCTGTGTTGTGGTGGTCAGTGGCCCATCCAGTAGCTTTGGGAGGCTCCACACCCCTCACACAGCAGCAGGTCACTCTCACTGGCCAGCTAAGGGATGTCACAGGAGTCACCAGAGGCCTGGTGGCCTGGGTTGTCCCCTGTGCTGATTGAGGATGCCAGAGCACAGACCTCCCAGGGAGATTTGTTCCCCCAAAGGCAGAATGAGAAGTGCCAGAGAAAGAAGGGATTTCTTTGCATCACTGGTGGTGCTGTGAGAGACCTTTGTTGCCTGCAGACAATCCCTGCTGGGAGAGGGTGTCCCTGATTGCTGCTGCTCCTGTGTCCTTTGCCCTGTGATCCAACAGGCACCATCACCTGCTGCATTTCGTGTTCCCTTGCACAGCTGCTGTCACACTGCTGCAGCTGCTCTGGCTGCTCCTGTGCTCCTCATTCGTGCATCCCACGTTTTTTACATCCTGTGTATCATGTGTCCCCAGAGCACCACGTGAGATTCCTGTTTAAATCACAGTATCACAGTACTCTGAGTTGGAAGGGACCCACAAGGATCACGGGAGTCCAGCTCCCAGGGAGACCAAATATGGGGTGGAGATAGTTGTGAAACCTGGTGTTACAGGGATGGAATTCCCAGTTCTCTCAGTGGTAAAAGTGACTTGAGCAGGATGCAGGAGTTACTTCTCACAGTTCTAGTCCTCTGTATTGGATAAGACTTACCCAGAATTAGAGGGGAAGGTGGGTTAATTGGGGGAGAATTTATCAATGTTTAGAAGCAGCTGGTGCTGGTGGCCAGGAACACTCTAGCACAGCTGTATTCCAGAATTTCACATTCAAAACCTTTTCCTGCTGGAGCTGGTGAGAAAGGGAGAAACAGCTTGGGAATGGCACGTCTAGAAAGGGGTTGGAAGCTTTTTTAATAATTGAAAACAAAAAGTCATCATATGGAAGCGTTTATAAATTTGAATGTGACTGTGTGACTCTGTTATTTCTCCAGTATTTCTTGTGACACCGGGAAGTGCCCGTTGTGCTCCCCGGTGGTGTTGGCACGTGGGGGCTGTGTCAGGCTGCATGCACATGTGGGAATCTGGCTGCCACAGGTCCTTCCAGTGTTCCCTGTAGTCTGCTTCCTTCAAGTGCCAGTCTTTTGTGTGATGCTTTAATGGGTTTTCCTTGTATAAATGGGTTCTTGTCCTGGGAACATGTGGAATTTTGGTCTGTTGTATATTTCTGTATTGTGCTGCAGATCTGAGCTGTAAAATGTCAGGTTTTCCACATTATTCTGCCAGAGGGGCGACCAGATTCATGGAATTATTTAAAAGAAGATATTTTTCTTTTGAAGCAGCTTTATAATTTTAAATGTTTGGAACTCACGGAGAGCAAAGAGCTCCTGTTTAAAGACTAGAACTCGTTTTAGGCCAAAATTTAAACATGTACTAAAACCTTTAGCTCTGACTTCCTCGGAAAGGAATAAAATCCCTCAGTTATCTTTGTTAATTAGCCACTGCTCCTGTGTTTTGATTCAGGTCATAAAGTTGTGCTTCCCTAATGCCAGGAGTACCAGGAGTGACTCTTGGTACCAGGGTGAGTTGGCACTGGGCATTGCAGGGAGGGTCACTGGAGAGGAGCTTTCCTTCTCAGGAAATCCAGCATGTGGTGATGGTGCAGAGACCAGGGAATGTGCTGGGACCCTGTGACTGGCAGCACGAGGATGGCTTGTCCTTGGAATGACTTCTGAAGGTGCCTGCATGGCAGCCTGGCTTCCCTGGGAGTGCTTCACCTGTTACAAGGAACGTCTCCTTTGCCAGGTGGGAAAACACATTTTCTTCTCTTTGAGCCTCAGAAGGTGCTTTGCTACAGGTGATTCACCAGTCCTGGCTGTTTCTGAATCACTTGGGATGGAGGTTGGCTGTAGAATAAAAAATCATGGGGAAAAAAAAAAACACATAGAAGGGAAAGGGAATCCCCAGCGCTTCACCCTGAATTCCTCAAATTAATAACTGCCTGGCTGGAAGGGTCTGGGTTTCATCCTTTTTTAAAACTGAACTTCTGGAGACAGGAATCTTTTCCTTAATCAGAAGAAATAACCTCTTGCATAAGGATATCAACAAGGGAATCTGCTGGGTGTGAGTGAGGAGATTTGAGGA